AATTCTATTAATCAAGTTGTAGTGTGATGATATCTATGACTGTGAGTCCTGCGGGAGCATCAATTGTCTTAGGATTCCAAAATCATCCTGTTGACTAGTGGTGACTGAGACGGAACCTGAGTTCGGAACTTCCTGCCATTTTACTTCAACCACCTGCCCTCTGCATTCTGTGTATTACCTATGGCCACTGACTCAGTTGCTTTATGCTTCAACTGTTGATAGCTCACTTGAAGTTCGCTCATTCCTGAACCTAACAGTCAGAACATCAGAAAAACCATCCAGGTACCTTGTGTTCTTCGTGTTATTGTATTAATCGATTCAAAAAGACCCCTAATTACGTAATATAAATACTAGAGTACAAAGCTCCATAAATAATAAATCTTAATTGGTAAATAGCTGTGACATTTGTGATAATAAGGTGAGTAAGAGTTATGATTAATTACTGGTAGTTTATAACCAGCAAAAGATGTCTCAACAGTCAGTAAGTTGAATGAAAGCCTCCTATTAGGATAATATAAAAATACCATTTACTTGACAGTTTACTAAATACACATAGGAAGCATATAAACTGATTCCTTCAAAATTTCATAACCTTTTTCCCTACTTCTTAATTACTCTATATATCTACTTAACCTACGTCTAAAGACCATTGTCAGACTTTAAGCTTACTACGTAGTGTTGAAATTTAGAATTGAAGATATGTAGTGAATAGAAACATCGAGAGTGTTTATGAGTTTCCAATTATATGCTTTTCTGAGAACTCATAACTAACACAAAAAATCATGTGGTTCATAAGATTTTGATTTTCGCTGAGTTAACTTTCTACTTTTTACAATACTCACTTAATTAGATATATCGTAACGGTAACTGACATGCTGGTTGACATATCCGTGTATCTATCAAGAAGTACAACATTGTTACTAAACTACGTGATCTGATATTGAACTAAATAAATTAGGCAATAATTTTTGCGAATATCAAGACTCATGTTTTTGGCATTCATCAGAAAGTATCATCTATGTAACATTACTAGATTAACTTGTGCTAGTGTTCTAAAACTGACATTATATAAATAATGTTAAGATAACAACATTAGGTAACCGAAACACTGTATCACTAATAAAAAATATAGAATTGAGTTTTGATATGAAGTTTCTATTTGATATTCAGGTCACATATTTTGTTGATCAGTAATAACAAGCACAAAAATCTACATCGACATTTTAGTACAGGCTGCTTACATTACTGTGTCATATTAAGCTTTATTTATTATTTATGTATTAAATTGTATTTCTTAGAAGAGCACTTGCTCGAAAAGGTTTGGGTCATATTACTGGAGCAATTGAAGATTTAAAAGAATTGCTTAGATTCGATTCAGATAATAAAACTGCCATAAATGAGCTCGAAGCTTTAATTGGTAAAAAGAAAATCGCACACATATCTAATTCCACCGTGTCTTGTAGTTCAATTCAGTCGAGTAATCCGAGAAAAATGAGACGAATACCAATCATTGAAGTCGATGATGATAATCATAATAAACAAATATTGAGTACACCTGTGCAGAATAGTACAAAATCTGTGTGTACTAATGATGATAGTTCCGTCTCAAATAATAACAAGTGTTCTATTTTGAATAAAGATCAATCAAAAAATGAGAATGTTTTGTATTCGACTCCACAGACATCAGATCGTTTGGAATCTCGGAATATATCCTCCAGTACATCAACGTCAATAGTACCAACCAGTGAGACGATTAATCCTGGAAGTGATCATAATTTTAAACGACAACTCCCATTGTTAAATATGAACTTACATAAACCACCATCAAATTGGTTTCAGTTAGAACGTGAACTACGTGAATTATGCCAAAGAAATTCTTCATCTAACTACCAGCCAAACCTTAGTAAAGAAGCAATCATTTATTTGTGTAATATTCAACCAGTTCATTATGTGAAGTTATTCGGTGAAAATATGGAAAGTGATTTCTTATCACGTATGCTACAAGCATTTTATCTTTCAGATCAATTGACAAATCAACACATTGTAGAACGTTTATTATTTTTATCAAAATTGCCAAGATTTGATATTGCTTGGATGATGATTGATGGATCAGAACGTGTAAATATAATTAAATTTATTAAAAATTTACAGAATGATAATTCACTTGATAAAGAATTACTCAAACAAATTTATGTACAGTTTGAATGTGAATAAATCTCTAATGTGGATAGAATAAGAGGATATTTTCTTACTGGACAATCATTGACTAACGATAATCAAATAGCTTTCCATTTGTTATATTTTATTTCAAGTTGTCTGTTTTGAGTACTGGGTTAAATTCTAAAAAAGTAACATCTGATATAAACAAACCGAAAAATGTACTTATTGAAAAATATTGTATTGAAGTTATCCTAGGGTACCTTGATTTTCAAAGGTTCGTCAGCTATGAACTCGATTTATAAATTATGTATTTCCTTCATAATATTTCTATCTATATTGTAGTCAGTCAGTCCGTCAGGTACAATTTAGGACCAGGCACATATATGCATCGGTCCAAGTTGCCATACCTCATTAACACAACAAGATGGACACCGGATTTCATAAAAGTAGTTAATTCAGAGGTGGTAATATATAAAAGAAAGATTGCAATAAGAATATAGTACAGGAAAAAAGAATTAGTTCATAGAAAGAAAGATATGAAACGATTTTAATCTCTTAATTTAAGGGAAGACAGGGAGTGTATACACCGACGCCATTGTGATCGATTCTGAGCCATGTCACCAAGAGTCTCCAACCATTGGTTACGATAGTCACGCGGACCCCAACCAAGTAGTCTGCATCTACCAACATGGCTCAGACTAGAAGTTAGTGACTTCAAGCACTGATGCCACATTTTGGTTTGGCCGCCCCTAACTTTCTTCCAACCATCCCCTACACCGGTTAGCATTGCACGTCGTGGTAGTCGGTGTTCAGGCATACGTAACACGTGGCCCAACCATCTCAGTCGATGAAGATTCATAACCTTATCAACTGATTTACCATCATCCCCTAATATCCTGCGTCTAACCTCACTATTACTTATCCGGTGATCCCAGCAGACGCCAGCAATATTTCTGAGGCATCTGTGGTCAAATACTAGTAGCTTACGACTGTCTTCTACTCTTAATGGCCATGTTTCGCGGCCGTAAATTAAAACAGAACGCACTGCCGCGCAGTATACTCGTCCATTTATTGATAGACGGATATCTCGCCTTTGCCACAGGTGACGTAAGTTGGCAAAAGTCAAGCGAGCTTTTCGAATCCGTGCTGAGATTTCGTCCGATACCAACCCATTAGGGCTGATCAGACTTCCAAGATAAGTGAAGTTGTCAACGCGTTCGACTACTTCACTCCCTATCCTTAGTTTAGGTGTTAACGCAGACCAGTCCTGAAGCAACAACTTGCATTTCGAAGGAGAGAAGCGCATTCCAAACATTCTGGGATTGTTGCTTAGTGCTAGCAAAAGACTGCATTCTATCAGCGTCTTCACCAAACAGGACTATGTCATCTGCGTATTCTAAGTCGATAAGTGGTTTAGCTTCGTTAATTAATCATCTTGATAACCGTTATTATATAATTCTCAACGGTTTTGGCACCCGGGCAGAGTATCCCAGCCCTCACACAAGTCGAATGATTTATGTGGCGCATATCTATTTGGTGCCTCATTATACCAATGTTTATGTATTTAAATAAATAAAAATCCTAACGGTGTTTGGAATCAGAAGCGGCGACTACAGTTTGTTAACAGATAACAAACATAACAAAGCTACAAGCACACCGAGCGGATTTTGAACAGAGACTAATATTTATGCGCGAGCGAATACAGAGGTAAATTTGTAGTCAAATTGCATAAAAGCGCAGAATAGGCCATTAATAGGATTCAAGTACATATATACATGGGGAAGATAATGATTCACCGAGCCATATTTTTAAGCCAGAGAGAAATATATGCGTAGGCTGTCACATGCGATCAAGCGTACACATTTATACTGACAAGCTAGTGATCATAATAGAACAAAGGAATAGACAGATTGCTAATATCCAAATAACATTGTCTGTTAAATGGGTTAATAAAAGAGTTTAACAAACGTTAACCATTATCGGAATTGATAGTAGAAGACTCTCTATAATATTTTCGTTTTGTTTTCCGTACAAACAAAAGTAATATGGGAAAGTGAATCGATATGAATGCAAGAACAGATTGTGTTAATGAAGCGAGAATTCACACAAAATACGATTGATGCTCTTTGTTGCCTTATGTTTCATTAAAATACAGTGACATCAGAGGACAATACCTACTCTATGGCTGCAAAGAATCGTTGATTAGCAAAATTTCTTGAAAATTACTGCCAGAACTAGAGATCCTCTTGAGTTGTGCTGCATTCGGAATCAAATTTTACTAGCTCTATTAATAACTGGTAGCCATTTCGAAAACAGTCAACTCTGTATAGTATTCTAATGAATCAGCCTATCAAAGTAATGGGTGCTGGGTTCAAGTTTCCATTGTAAACAATAAAACTTATTGTTATTCAAATAAGTCTAAGAAATATATATATATATTCTACATTTCATTGCTGTTAACGACTCAGAATGTCATCGATGAAAAGAATTTACATATAAATTACTTAGATTAGTTGCATTTAAACGAACGATTGTCAGTACTGAGGTTAATACATTGCTTATTTACATGAGTATTTGAGACGACCTCCCATCACCCATGAATTTGTAACGTGGTAATATACACAACCTCATTGCATTTAATCACAACAGTACAAAAAACAAACACAGAAAGGCCACAATAAAAAAAAGGCACAAATGGTTTTTCAATTTTTTTTTATGTGTATACATCCCGATCATTGTGGTCATTCCAGTTATTCTTATTTCATCACAGTCTGAATGAATTTGAAACGAATAAGTTATTATTTGATTCTTAGTATTTTGAAGTATCATTAATTCTGTATCTATTCAGTATCAGACAATGAATGGGTACTTGAACTTGACATACGATGAAGATCACTTGAAGTCCACAGAAAGCCTATAAAGAAAAGAATATGACTTATTAATCAGGTCAGAATGAATTCATTCGGACTTGATGCACATATTTTATGTATGTGAGATCTGATGACATTATCCCTCTGTTTAAACTGAAGTAGGTGGTTCAAACATGTAACCCAATAACTGTAAATCAGTTACTCTGAACATAAAGCCACAAAGACAGACATAGTGTCAAGTAAAATCCACGGTATATTATATTAGAACTAATGTAAACCCATGACTAAAATTATGAAATTAGAAAACCTTATCACGCGATAAAGGCAAAATAAAGTTGGGATTAAGAAATTCGAAATGAATAGTAAATAGAAAAAATACTATGAAGCCCCTGAAAATTAAGACATTTATTTAGCACTTCTTGGTAACTATCATCATTTGGTTTGTAAACCCTGTCTTCGAATTACTGTCAACTTCAGATTTTATTTGCCAATTTGTGGAATCTTACGCATAAACACCATTTTATTTTGATAATTTAAGTATGATGAACATGTATCGTATTCAGCAATCAATGTAATGCCACGAAAATGATCAACGGGAAATCATAAATTTTAATAATAAGTTGCTAATATAAAAAGATTCTGGGTAAAATGCATAAGACAAAACTTACTAGAACTTGGAGTCATGGGTTCATCAAGATTACTAATTTTTGGTGTAGCCATGCCAGCATTAAATGCACTCGGTAAGGGGGTACTGTCACCACGAGGAGTTGTACTTGCTGCATGTGGTGTTTGAGCACCATATGCCAACTGTTATTTAATGGATAGAAAAGATATAACGAAAAGTAAGTAACATTGAAAATGGAATAAGTTTTCTGCCAATCAAGAAAGTGAACTAATGATTATACACTGTTATATGCATTAGAAATATAAGTGTTATCGATAAGTTAACTCTAGATGTCATATCATCATTCACTGATATAATCTTTATTAGAACTGTTGACTACATATGTGAAGAAAGGTAACTGAACAGAAAAAAAAGATTACTACTGTGATTTTTATAATAAATCTGAGGGAACTAATTTTAAGAAAGAACATAGTTTATGTTTAATAATAAGTTGTTCGGGCAACTGGGTTAGTGACACTTGGGAAGAATCACATCCTTGTCATGATACCTGGGAGGGGTCCAACCCATGGTAGGATCATGGGTATTCACTGCTGAGGGAATCCCATTCTAAAGACTCAAGGCGACTGTCTAAAACTCTCAGGTTTTTAGTAGTACCCCAGCTGAGATTGATTCCCGATATGGATATTTATCTATGATTAAGTACCTTAATGCTCACAAACCTGGAATAATTCTTTTACAATTACATGTGTGAAATTTCTATTTCATACACAAATTGAGGAAGGAAATATTTTTTTGTTTAAATGATCTTTTCGCTATATATATATATATATATATATATATATATATATATATATATATATATATATATATGACAATATGGAGAGTAATATCATCGAAATATTCATCTGTTGGTTCGTCTGCGGTTCGGATTTCAACAGATTATTATTTATTTATTTCAACACAGATAATGGTACAAAGAGGCACCAAATACATATGCGCCACACAAATCTCATCCGATATGTGTGAGGGCTGTGATACTGCCCGGGTGCCCAAACTGAAGCACGTAGTTTTCTTAGGGGGCCACAACCCGAGCCTTCGACCTGAAGGTCTGATCCACAAGGCAGTGGAGCATCGTAAGGAGATGCAGTCCCATGGAAGCCGGTGACCAACGGTTGGTTCATACAATATTTGTTCCCTCAGGATACTGGAGCCCATGTGCACCATTGGTTTGGAATCCGGTTGAAGCGCCGGACATTCGCTTTTCGTCCTCTCATTTTCGTAAACAACACCCCCGCCACGAGAAGGCAGTGAGTAGTACTTCCCTGGCAGAGGCTGTATACGTGTGGCCATATGAGAGCATTTCGAGAGGGAAAGCGGACTCTCCCCAGCCTCGGCCGTACCAGGGCATTTGGGGGCTGATTTCAACAGAACTGTTATTTAATCTTTGAACCACGATTGAATCTCTCTTTGTTATAGTTTAAATTAGACACTTATTATGTTGTTAAACTGAAATATAAGAAAAACAAATTTTTGAACATCATTAAAAATGACAAGTATTTACTTGTGGTGTACGCATTTCACGCATTGGTGTAATACGAGGTGTAGTAGCACCATATTGTGTATCCATGATACGACCACCACTGTCTAACAAAGCCATATTTTCACGTGCAACAGGTACTTTTTTAAATTGACTATGTAATTCCAGTACTACATGCGTTGGTGTTGCATCACATATAATACCCAATAAACCTTTTAATGTACCCTGTATAAGAATAAAAAGAAAACATTCGAAAAAAAAGGTTACAGGATAATAAATTAAAGAAACAATTTCTTAGTTGAAAACAAGTCTCGGATTTTGGCGCAAAATTCACTCATCTATTTGAGTGAATAGAGTTTTGGTATTATAGCTGACAAGTGTTTGTGATGAAAACTCGAAATCTATTTACTAACCTTAATCATCAACTGTAAATTATAATTATAAGTCCTCACACAGTTTTACGACCTCCATTTGGTCCCGGTTATTAAGTGGACACTCTCAAGGTCAGTCTGGCGTCGCTCTAAGGTCGTCCAAAAATTATAGTCTTACCGACATTGTTTATATCACGCCGAAACTCAAAAACACTTAGCAACAGTTGTTCGTATCTCATATTAGCACGTTGCTGCAAATTATTAACGCAGATTTTGTTGAAGAATATGAAGAGGTTAAAAAATACGGGGATGAATTCATTCATTTTCGATTAGTCAAAAGATAATTTGCCGTGATTATTGAGAATTAGTATGTGCATAACACTTTTAGGATATTGTCAAAACATTGAGTCAATCCGTGAAGTTCGAATTATTTAATTTTGAAGGAGTTTTGTTCTTTGAGCTGAATGGTGTGGTAGTGGTACAATCGAAGTGTTCGAATTTCTCCATATATGTGTTCACAGCTTGTCCTGTACACCTCGATGTTGATTGGTTCTTGTTGACCTTAAACCCGTCATTGTTTAATTCTTTGTTTTGGGTGTATTTCCCACTGGTTTGATTTTTGTTCCTATGTTTGTGGATAATTTCTCTGATTAGTTGATAAATTCGGTGGATTTCAATGCGCTTGTTTGCTGCTGATTGACCTGAGTGATAAGCTTCTCAAAATTCTCTGGTGTTTTTGGAATCGCCTCTATCCAAAATCTCCACATTTTTCCAATCGAGTATGTGTCCACAGTTGTCCACGTGCATTGATATAAGTGAGGACAAGTCATGGCGTTTGACTGATAATTGATTTTCATGCAGGTGAAAATGAAAAGGGCGTCCGCCTCGTCCGATGTAGTATTTCTCGCAGTTGACACAATTTATTTTGTAGATCATGTTTGGTTTGTATTTGTCATTTCTTCTTTTGGTTTGCATAGGACTGATTGTAGGGATTTCGTTGATTTGTGTGCAACACCTATTCCGAAGGTTTTCAGTAGTTTCCTTGCGGTTTCTGATATGGCTGACATGTATGGTAAGGTGATCCTTTTGTTGATTTCTGTACTTGACTTTATTTCTGATGATGTATGCGGCTGGTATTTTTTGAAGTTGATTGGGTAGCCATTCTTTTGAAAGATGGTTTTCAAGTATTCTTCTTCATTTTTCCACGCTGTGTGTTACACTGTGTCCTCGCCCTCTTGAATAGTTTGTACGCAGATGAATTTGTGAGCTCTTGGGTTGTTGCTATTGTAGTTGAGAATTTGATCTGTATGGGTCGGTTTCCTATACACTTGAGTCTGGTTCACCCTTGTCGGTTCTGGTGATTAATACATTCAAGAATGATAGTTTTTCGTTTGACTCCTGTTCCATTGTGAACTTGACGTCATCGAAGACGTTGTTGATCAGCCTGTAGGTGTTTTCCAGCTCATCCTTTTTGACGATGACGAATGTGTCGTCTACATAGCAAATCCAAATTTTTGGCTTGATCACTGGTAATATCGCGGTTTCTAGTCTTTGCATCACTGCTTCTGCGATCAGTCCTGATATTGGTGATCCCATTGGTATCCGTTTCGTTTGTCCGTAGATTTTGTTGTTGAATTGAATATATGTTGTTAAGCATAAATCGATGAGTTCTAGTAGACTTCGACTTTGAAGCTTCGTGTATATTGCGAGATCTAATTAAGAAGGATAATCTGAGTGAAACATCTAACTATTTCAATGGCTAACTTGTCCGTTTTTAAATATCACAACTCTAATTGGGTTAAACCAATCGTGAATGACATTTCGTTGAGATTGGAAAGAGAGAGAACATGAATGCTGTTATTTTAAAATTTTCATAAATAACCATGTGACTGTTATGGAAAAACTAAAGATTTCAAGCAGGTATCAATATGGCTCTTGAATTACAAACTGATATCAGCGGAATTCATGCTGAAAATCACAGAGAAATACATACGCATGTTAGGTGGTTGGAGACATTAGGTATGAAGCCCTAGACCTACGGTTCCATGCACACTTTTAGTGGCGTGACTATCCAATAAAAATATATGTGTTGAGGAGTGAGATGTTCATGCACTGTACTAATAACTCGCGCTATTCCGACTTCAATATCGTGAACGAAACCATTCTGTCCTCTTATTTTACCTGCCCCGCTAACTAAAGTAAAAACACTAATTGCAGATAAAGTTATTTGATGTTGATCTAGTGTAATCAATTAAAATACATTAGGTTTGTCGATTATATATATGACTAAAACATTGCTAGGATATTTAAACTAAGTGATTGTAATAGGCAAAAAATATAGTAAAAATGTATTGAAATTCCATAGATAGTTTTCACACTGAATAGTTTACTCTAATAGAGTTTTAACGTAATTGATATTGATTTGATTCTCCTGAATTGTAATTTGAGACTAGATATCCCACCCAAACAAGGGGTTTGGGCAGTTCACTTTGAGCAAGTCGATTCTCAATTTGAATGTGATTTTATCTACCAAAACAATAGCACTATTTTGGTATAAATGATGGCCTTATGGTTAATTAATATGAACATGGATGTAGTTTTTTAAATAAGAGTTAAACTTCAGTTTCGAAATGAAATAAGAGAACTTATTTTAGTTTTTAAGACTATCTGTAAGTGATATTAACAAGACTACTTCAAAAATTTTCGGAAATAAGATTAAAAATAGGCAGACCTTAACAATCAAAGCTGTCCTGCCAACTAGCTGACGTTCGTTACGACTACCTTTTCCACGTCCACCTTCATTATTACCGCCAAAGTTTCTTGCACCACTGATAGGTGTAATTGTTTTCATTGAAATACCATTTTCTGTATTGCTTTGTTCATTACCTCCTTGTGAAGTGGTTAATGCAGAGAGTTGACGAGTTTTAGCTACAACAAGTCCAGCATTTTCTAAATGTGTACGACAATATATGAATGCCCATGAACGATACAAGTGTTTCACTTCACCAATTAATCCACAATGTGGTTTTTCTAATAAGCGAACAGTTTGCTTTAATTGTATAGAATTTCCATTATGATCTAATGCTTGTGGTGGCCGACGAACAGTATTTAATCGACGCAATGCTGTATTCGATTTTAAATTAACAACTTTACCAAAACATGTTAGTACAGAAACTTGGTCACGTTCAACATGAACAACAACACCGACAGTTTGCGGGTCAACTTGCACTAAATCCATCAATTGTACATGCCCAGATGATTCAACAGTTGTAGCACGATCTTGCCATAAACGTAAATCCTTCGGTGCAACTTTCATTTCATTCATACTATGATCGGATAAAACAACAGCTAGACTGGGATCAAAACGTATGACTAAACCAGTTTCATTAACATGTCGACCACTGAGGACCTTAAATATGAAGAAATAAAGATATTAACATACATATAACTAATACTGCGATGATTAATATGACGTAAATATAAATTGACGGATAGGATAATACAACAATACACTATAAATACAGTATAACACAATCATATAATATCGAGATTTGACAGCTAAATGGACAAACGTTTATTATTAGACTACGAGAAACTTAAACTGGTTATATTATTTGACAATCAACTGAGTGAGTATGCGCCTCAAGTGAATAGTGATAATCGGAATTTTAAAAAAAAACAAGTTTAATTAGTGGCATAGATGATATTAACTCTTATGAAAGATAACCTATTAACCAAAAACAGTTTTGAGTCACACTGCTGGTGTAGTGATTAGTAAGACTACTCAACTATCCAAACTGAAGTATATTGAGTGGAGAGGGTTAGAATTTGTGACTTACTAGTTGGAATCCAAGTCCTTTAACATCTAACTTTTCGCGAAACTGATATCACAGAGAGAAAATGTTCAGTTCTCATCCGAATCGCTGAAGTATTTCAACATCGATGGTATCATATAGCTGAGTGACCTTAATAAATGGGTTAGTTATTGAAAGTTAGTCAATAACAAGGAGTATAGCATGGACATTTACGAAGTAATTACTCACTAAACCGGTTTTAAAAAAATGGAAAACAGGTTAATTAATAACGAAAAGCGTTCCTTCATGTTCAGATTAGAAAGTATTCTGAACCATGATTTCTCGCAGTCAAGACTCTTAATGATATGCTGATCATTATCTACAATAGAACTCTAAGTGCCAGTATGTACCTGTCTAAATATAAATTTGCTGACAAATAAATATTCTGATAAGCAAATCGTACAAGTTATATAATTTTGAATTAAGCAGAGTAAAAATATGGCTTTATGATATCAAAAAAAGACTGGGAATTGTTATCATAATATCTATTCTCATAGTTGTATCTCATTAAATAATGACATTGGATAAATTCTTAAAGTTAGGAATAACATGGCTTTTGTCGCTACATAATATGCAATTTCTCGTTCTTAAGTCTCCATAGGAAAATAGAAATGGGTACGAAAAACGTGAACTACTCGCGTAAAGCGATGAGAAGAATGAACTTGTAAACTGGTCGAATACGCTTTATGACACCACACAACAAGACACGTAAATGTATGGATACGAAACTTTAAGAAGATTTAATAATTGAATCTTTTTAAAACCCTTTCCTCTAACCTAACAATTATTAACAAAAGTCACCAACTATGCACACTTAATTGAGATGTAAAGTGTTTACTATAACTTAGTGTTTTTTAATCGACCGCTGCTGCTAACTTAAGGTGCAGGTCGGGTGTGCCTATTGTGATGACTCAACCGAGCTGTATTAACTGAAAAAACATTTTCTTTTAGCTTCTGCCATGTCAAGCAGGTCGGTAAGACTGGAAGCAGAAACTTAAGGTCCGAGGGAGAAGTTGTACTTCTAACTATAGAGGGTTGTGACAGCAGTAAGGTGTTTCTCTCGGAAAACCAGCATCTGCAGCGATGCTGCCCTCCTACAAAGGATGTGGTTAGAATAGGTCAACCTCACCTAACTTCACGGATTTCCGTCTCCTGAGGTAAAGAGTTTTGAAATGCGGAGCTAACTCATCAAAAACTCCCAGTGAAAATGTCGTGCGCGAACGCTTCTAGGTAGTTGTCTCTTAGGCTCTGTGGTCACGCTCGCAGGTGGCTAAAATCATCACTAATTCAGCTCCCTTTTAAGGTCCTCCAAGAAGAAATAACCTTCCACGGTGCGGGTAGCCGGGGAGTGATAACCACCTTCCTACCTCTATTAGAACCTGAGTTCATCTTGTTTACGATCGAATCTTTCACATCTTAATAATTCTTCCATACCCACAACTAACCCTTCTCATATATCTTTATCACCACGCATCAATAATGCTAATTATTTGAGTTCTCTTAACGATATATTCCTAGTCACCTGAAACCACGCTCTAAATCACATATTGAAGCTTTTACTGTTAGAATCTAGTGTCCGATAAGACAATAGGCTTTTTTGGCTAGGACTCTAGAATCTTGCACCATCGATATATGCTGCGTCACCAAAACGCGCTTAAACGACCCAACTAGTCATTCATTTGACCTCGTCTTGTCAATATAAAGAACCGGCACGATTTAAAATTCAAGTATCTGGAGACCCCACTGTTACTTCCCGTGGTCTCGCTGGTGTAGGTAAAGCACTAAGTTCTGAGGCAGAACAGGCTCTCCTATACTGGATCCCAATAGACAGTCGCTTGTGCGCTGTTCGACTAAACAGGACATTAAGAACTCGAAAATATGGGGATACATGCCGTTACCTTTCCGTTGTCTCTACCTACTCTACCACTAGTTGCAGCTCAGACCAAATTAACGGTGAATTTTATAGGAAGCTATCTAACCTTCAAAAAGCTAAACGCTTTGATGTAGTAGTAGTAGTGACAAGTTATTTTAATGCCCAAGCAAGTACAATAAATCAAACCGAACCCCACTTAGGCGGATCTTACGGCATTGAGGCTCAGCGAACAGATAGTGGTGACCATCTGTTGCAACTATGTTCAGATAACTGTCTATTTATGGCAAACACCAACTTTAAATATGAGGAGAAACATCATCTGACATGGTGACCTCCGCGATCGACTCATCCATAGACTCAAATAGACCACATTGCAATTAGCCATAGTTGGAGGGGCTCAGTTGAAGACTGTCGCACATCCTTGAGCGCATGTTTAGACTCGGATCATGACCTAGTTCGAGCACATATTTGTCTGAGTCTTAATGGACGTAGAAAAGCCATAAGTAAACCCCTTAGTGTCCAAACTAATGATGAAAAGCTAAAAAAAATATTCCAGGAACAGCTACAAAGGGAGCTAGTCAACCGTGAAAATGATATCCACCCCGAGATAGCTTCGTATAATATTCGAAAAGCTGTGGAAACAGTTATGATATCTACTCGTAACTTAAAGCAAAAGACTAGGAAAACAGCCGATTTCAGTGGCGTCTACATAACTGATGGATGCTCGGAAATTCATCCCCACTGACTATGAACACGATGATCAGCGGAGGAAGTTTAAACGTAGGTTGGTCCAAAGATCACGTAATGATCGTGAGTAGTTGTGTGTATCGAAAATAGAAGAGATGAAAAAGGCAGCAGCGATAGATAACAGCAGAAAACAGTCCCGACTTATTAAGAAAACAGGTGTTAAAAAACCAGGACTAATATTCACTCTTAATCCAGGAGATTGAACTGATGAACTGAACACTTTAGGGAACACTCCAACTGGCCTTTAGCAACACTTCATTTACCCACTATCCCCAACCAACATGAATTGCAAACTCGAGTCTTGGCGCGCAGGCGTCGCACCTGGGGCAAGTACACGCTACATCCATTTCGGTAACACAAGTTTTCACCGATGTATCTCTTTGCATACTCATAGGTATACTCACTCTGTGAGTAAATATACGTTATACCCACACCGATAACTTAAATTTTCACTTATGAAACCAATAATATACATATAGGAATATTCACCCACTTGAGAGGTAGATGCTCACCGCTCCCTTTGATCGTATTTGCTACGACTGACTCTCTTACACATCACATGCATACCACTGGTACAAAGACTTTCACATATTCACTTTATGAGATACGCCATAAGCATAAGGCACATTTAAGGAGGGTTGATGGTCACTTCTTCCTAGTACTTGCTACCATATTTTTTTATTACGTATTCGACCTGATGGTTTAGGCCGCCGATTTCATTAGACCTAGGACAGACATTTCAGCTGACGTTCCTGTTGCGAACCCGGAGCGTACCCTTGGCATGTACCTACATACTCAACTACACAAACCGAGACTCATGCAATTCATATACATAAACACACACATAGGACAGCCCGAAAGATTTATTGAGCTTCGAAATTGGGACCCAAGTAATCCAGTTCACAGTAGGGTAGGGGATTAGTCCGATCTCTGTTAACTGCCCAAATTAAATAGCAAGGTTGCCCTCACTACTGAGCAGTGCTACGAGGAGACTTCGAGTCGGAATTTGTTTTTAAAGTAGCAATATATAATACATATAATAATATTACCTTGACATGATCACCTTGGTTGAAGAACTTTCTTAATTCCACTGGTGTAAACGGTATGGGTTCTCGTAAGTCAGAATGATTCGGCTGAACAATAATCCTGTTATTGCCTTCAATGGAGACAACTTTACCACGAAGATTCTTAAGATCACCTTCACATACTTCGACAACATCTCCAGGAGTGAAACAGTGGTTTGAAGCAATCTCAACATTAACAGCCGAAGTTAGATTAGCTGCAGCATTAGCAGCGGCAGCAGCTATTTGTAGACTATCAGGAGTATGATGAAATCGTTCAAGTTCAGCTAGTGTAGGTCGAATGCCTTCAGTAAACTGAAACAAGATTGATTTATTTTGCAGTCTTTTAATTATTAAGTATAAATATTTTATTTAACTTCATCATTTTCGTATATTTACAAAAACAATTTGATCACATCGGCTAAATGACTAAAATAGAACTGCTCGTTTCTAAGCAGAGATTGATGGTGGCTATCACTGAAATCTAGGACGCTGGATGCCCCTGGATATTTCTAAGTTGACAATTTGTATTATTATCGATTTCAATTCTTAACGGAAGATTATGAATGTCGAAAGATAATTTATTTTGATGACTTTGATAATTTTGATGGTTCCTTTGAATATGCTTGAATCTAGCCGTGATAGAAATGTTGTAACTGGTTAGTTTTATTTGCTGAGATCCAGATAAATATAATTTTATATATTGGTGCTATGCATCGGTTTGTCCAAAACAGACGATTTTCTAACATACTAATACATTACCTTGTATGATAAACAAAGTTAGGAGATTATTTTTTTGATAGATTAGCTCTAGACTGTTCAAAATACAGATCACGTAATCCTACTTTTCATGTAAAACTGTTTATGAATCCCAAAAATATCGACCCATATTGGACAACCATGAGTAGACAACTTAAGTACAATTACTATTAGTTTTTTTCACTTATGTAGCAACTAGTTTTGGACACAACATAGGTATTTCTATTATGGAAAAACCGTATTGTGGAATAAAGTAATAGAGCGACAAGTATCCCATTACAGAGGTTTTTGTCTTTACTTGATACCAAATATGGATTCCTTTACTCGGCTTCGAGTAACACTTTAATTGTGAAGGCTAACGATATTATTTGATTGTCTAAACCGAAGTAGGTAGGGAGGATTCGGATCTGAAACTTAGTAGTTAAAAGTCTAATGTTTTAATCAATGAACCATCTTTCCAGTGTCTTCAACACAGTGTTCAAGTTAGAATTGGCGTTTCAAGCTGTTATGAAAGAGCAAATACATATCTCAGTAATTTAATCATACAATTTAGTTAAAGCAGTTTAATCTATTGATATTATAAATTGTATACATCCGTTAATTCATTGATTAATTTATGACAAATATTTTACCAGTTTAATACATTCACATATACCTACTGACCAGATAAATAAATCATGTATGATTTAGCATATTTAGATAAATTCTGATTTGTTCTGGTGCATAAAAGATCTTGATCAACAGTCTTGCCTTCTTCCTTGAATCAAGCTTTATCAGTCTTGTTTAGTTATAACACATAACAAGCGCCAGTTTGTCCGCAGTTATAACAAGTGGCCACATCAGTCTCGTGCAGTTACAACACAAACGACGAATACATAGTAGTTTATAAGGTCGCAACTTTAAACTATATACCCACAGTTCAATACAATATAAATGCTTTAAAAATGTAACGCATATTTCATGAATAGAAAAACTTTTACTTACAACAGCATTAATACGAAATTGTTTATGCAAGAATCCATCAGTATCGTATCGATTCCCCTCAAAAACCAATGATGATCCATCACGTTGTACACGATCAGATAATTTTGATGCATTGAATAGTGCTGGTGCTGGGCGCTTAAAACGTTTAAACTTATTGTTATCATCTGTTTCTGTGCCACGATTACGTTTTCTTTCATAATCAATTCGAGGAACTAACTTAAGACCAACTAAATTTTGTGCATCCTCTACATATTCAACCTAGAAAAAGATCAAAACTTTGATTTGATAATCAACTCAAGGTACAAGCAACCTAAAATAATGATTTGACAAATATGATAATAAAAACCCTGAAAACATCAGAATGAAACAGAACATCGTTTACCCATTAATAATCAATGGTCGTTTAAATACCCTTTAACTGTTTACATACTATGATTAGAAGCGGTTATCTCTGAAGTTCTTATTACACTTAAATGAACATTTTCATGATCCTTATTGTTATAAAGCTAATGGTGATTAAAATTAATGCGTTAATCGCTCACTGTGGAGTACTTAGTTCCCAGGTTCGACCCCTGGCAAGACCAGGGATGAATACTAGTTTTATTTATTTATTTGAACACATAAATATTAGTACAAAGCGGCACCAAATACATATGCGTTACACAAATCTCATTTGATTTGTATGAGGGCTGTGATACTGCTCGAGTGCCCAAACCGAAGCAGGTGGTTTTCTCAGGGGGGCACACCCGGAGCCTTCGACCTAAAGGTCTGGTCCACAAGGCGGTGGAGTAACGTGAAGAGGTGCAGTCCCATGGTAGCCGGTGATCAACGATTGGTTCATACGCCACTCGTTCCCTCAGGATACTGGAGCCCATGTGCACCATTGGTTTGGAATCAGGGTTTTCTAACTCCCCTAGGTGGACTCTCCTTGTCCACCAACCCTGTTAAAGCGCCGGACATTCTCTTTTCGTCCTTTCAATTTCATAAACAACACCCCCGTCACGAGAAGGGAGTGAGTAGTACTTCCCTGGCAGAGGCTATATACGCGTGGCCATGTGAGAGCATTTCTAGAGGGAGAACGGACTCTCCTCACTCTCAGCCGTACCAGGGCATTTGGGGGCTTGAATACTAGCAAGGAGTCCCTTACTAGGATGAAACTGTCCAGTGCTTCCTGGTTCTTAATGGTTGTCTACCTAGAGTCAACCCAAAGGTAAGCTACAAAACTCGACAATCACAAAAGCTCGCATACTAATTGTAAAGGCTGCTTTTCATTTCATTTTAAATAACTGTATTTATTTTATTTACATATTTTTCGTAATATTTGTGTGCGACAAGAGGAACTTGTTTAAATATTTTATCCAGAGAATTCCCTTTTGTTTCAAACATATAGTACTGAATAAAGCGATTAGTACTGTTATTAATAGTCACCAAACTACAGGTTAATTGTGGTACTACTTCTCTTGAACCCAGAACGTCATTTAGAATAACAACGAAAGCTCCTCAACTGAAACGCAAAATAAATAATTGGAAATGAATAAATTATAAAAATATACCAACTGATAATAAGATACACTGGATAATAGCGCAAACTCAATTCCACAGCTGAATGTCAAACCTTTTGTGCTTACCAATGCTAAATCATCACGATAGAGTCCAGATTTAATCCGAACCCACTGGTCAGGTTTAAGTTGACCAGTTTCTTTCACCACACGTACAACTTCTGTCATTTCTTCAATTGGAACAAGTTGTTGCTTGTACATAGAAAGTCGTAAAGCTGTTATACCGTCTATGGCTTGTTTAACATGAGTTTGCTTGAAAGCCTCAACATAAATATAACCCTTCAAACCTTCCTTAGCAAAGGCTGATTTAATTTGTAGTGGAGTGTCAGAAAATTGATAGGCTATAAATTTACGCATCAGTGCAAGTACAGTAGCCTTTTCTTCACCCATTTTACATCGAAGTGCCCAGAGGTTAGGATCTTTGATACCTGGAAGACGTTCCTTTTGAACAATACTATCAGCCATAGCCTCACCATCACCAAAACGATCGACATAATTTTGGTTCTCATAACGCTCTTGATAATATCTTTCTATTTCCTCTTCATCTTGGTCCATGATCTCACGTATTCTCCGGCGAGAATCTAATTCTCGAGCTGCAGGTACAGCGTCCAGGGCTTCTTCATCTTCCGGACCAATCAGTTCCCCTTCGTCGTCATATTCTTCATCTTCTTCTTCATCGTCTTCGTCGACCGAAGCTTCATCATGAAACATATCCTATACAATAATGGAACGTATTAATTAGCAATACAGAAAACTTATAAACAAATATAGTAGGTATCTACGAATATATATATATATATATATATATATATATATAATATTAGGTCATTATTAGTTTTCGGAAGTTACTCGCAATTTAATCTTCACTAGGATATAATAGAAGGTATTTTCATTTAGGTTTTACCGCTTATGAATATGGATTTACAAAGCAGATTGTATGAAATAGGTTTCCAAAATGATCATAGAATCTAGGATCAGATATTCACTAGATGTTTTGATAACGAGTTAATAAGATATTAAAGTGTAAGAAGAAAAAAATCTCACGATGTTGGCAGATATAGAGTGTGTACTCTTCGCATGCCCAGTCAACTATCTTCGGATTTTTTGTTTGCTTCTACTTTCTATCAACTACCCAACATTCCTATCTAGTTCGGTCTATGCGGGCAAAGATAAGTTTCCAACAACAAATTAGATTCTCCAACATTCTGAAAATTCGGTCCGTCAGTTAGCATCAAAGCAGTACTTCATACGTACGTACATCAGTTCAAGTTGCCATACCACATAAGCACAGAAACACAATTGTTGATTCAAATCCCACAGTGGTAGAGGTAGTAAAAGTATAAGCAGTAATCGGAAAGATTAGAGTTTGAAGATGTTATTCAATGAGTGTCATCCAGTGAAATAAATTTGGAAAGAGATAAAATAAAGGGACATGAAGAATTCAGAAGATTAGAATTTGGGAGAACACAAAGAGTGGATGCACTTGCTGCTCCATTACAAACGACTTTGATCCATGTCATTCAAAGTCTCTAACCATTGGTTGCTATCACCTCGCGGTCCCCAACCAGGTAGTCTACACCTACCAATATGACTCGGTCCACTTGTCAGCGACTTCATGGACTTGTGCCATGTTTTGGTTTGGCCGCCCCTAGCTTTCTTCCAATCTACTCCTATACAAAAAACATCGCACATCGAGGCAGTCGGTGGTTGGGTATACGTAACACATGTCCCAGTAATCTCAACTGATGAAGTTTCACTAGGTCATCAATTGATTTTCCATCCTTACCTAGTACCCGTTTCCTAACAACTGCATTACTTACTCGGTGGTCCCAGGATATACGAGTAATGCTTAGAAAACAACTATGATGGAATACTAGTAATGTACGAATATATCTTCAGTAATCACCGTCATTTCATTTTATTTGTTAGAACACCGTCATATTTATCAAAGGCCAACAATCGTAATGTTTCTTGACATTAGGGCTGCCTTCGATTTGTTGGAGAGGAGGGTTTTCTGGGATTGTCTATTGAAGAAAGGTGTGCCTGAGAAGTTCATTAACATCGTAAAAGCCCCATATACAAACACCTCAGGCAGAGTGAGGGCATACAACCATCTTTCTCGATTGTTCCATTCAAGCAGTGAGGTTAGACAGGGTTGCCCAATCTCACTATTCCTCTCCAACTTTGCCATCGATGACATTCTGGAAACAGCTCTAATGGATGTGAGTGGTAGTCATATGGATCTGTTGCCTGGAGAAAGAATTCTCGATCTTGAGTATGCGGATGATATTGTCTTACTGTGCGATAATGCCCAAGCCATGCAATTCGCACTTAATCAGTTGACAATCAATATCCGTAGGTATGGTATGTGCTTTGCACCTTCGAAGTGCAAAGTATATCTACAAGACTGGCAGCATTCTAATCCTGTACTCACACCCTGGGTAGTGAGAAGATAGAAGTAGTCGAGAAGTTCGTGTATTTAGGTGACTACATAAGTGCTGGTGGTGGCGTGAGTGGTGAGATCGATTTATGTACAGTGAGAGCCAGAGTGGCTTATGCCAATCTGGGCCATCTTTGCGCCTTCGTGATGTTAGTCTGACTGTGAAAGGTTGGATTTACATTGCGTCGGTGAGAGCAGTTTTGCTCTATACTTGTGAAACCTGGGCTCTCCGAGTTGAGGATGCTAGACGACTCTCTGAGTTTGATCATCGTTGTCTCCGAAGGATTGCTGACGTCCAGTGGCAACACCATGTTAGTAATGCAGAGGTTCGGCGTCGTGTGTTCGGACGCAGAGACGATCGTTCAATTGGTGTCACCATCTTGAAACACCGACTTCGGTGGCTTGGACATGTTCAATGAATGTCGTCCTAGGGAATTCCACGTCGTGCATTATTTTCCGATGCTGGGACTGGTTGGAAAAAGCGGAGAGGTTTCAGTGTATGACATGGTGTCGTGGTATGAAAGAAAGCTGTACCGGACTGGCTTCTGTTGTTCCTTTACTTCTCCCTGGTTAGGGTCATAGAGATGGTGCAACACAGTGGCTAGAGACGTTATCAGATATGGCTTAGAATAGAAGTCAGTGGCGATCCTGCTGCAACCTTCTTTTACGTCCCTCATAAAAAGTGGTTGTAACTTCTTTAACTGAAAGAATTCTTTCTGGTTGTACCTTTTCGTTTCCGCTATTGTTATTATTATTACACTACTATACACTAATGTGTGGTCGTTATTGTTCTCTTGTTTTTTCTTATACGCACCTTACATTCTTTTTCTCTTCCCATTCTACTTAACCTGCTCCACAGGAGCAAGTAAAATTTTAAATAAATATTGATGTGGTCCCGTGCAAGGGCTTGTCATGGACACATCCACGAATGATGGGGAGGCTCGAAAGGACGATATGAAGCTTAGCAACATAAAATGTTTATCTTAAGAATTTCGTCAGACGATAGTTCAAGATTTCTGCGGTATTATCTCCCTTGAACACAATGTTAATGAAGAGTTTTCCGAGGAATTGCATGACGTCTTATAGTTTTTAAAAATGGTTTCTCGATAGCGACCGATGGTTAGAGACTTTGAATGACATGGATCAAAATCGTTTGTAATGGAGCAGCAAGTGCATCCACTCTTTGTGTTCTCCCAAATTCTAATCTTCTGAATTCTTCATGTCCCTTTATTTTATCTCTTTCCAAATTTATTTCACTGGATGACACTCATTGAATAACATCTTCAAACTCTAATCTTTCCGATTACTGCTTATACTTTTACTACCTCTACCACTGTGGGATTTGAATCAACAATTGTGTTTCTGTGCTTATGTGGTATGGCAACTTGAACTGATGTACGTACGTACGAAGTTCTTCGTTGTGGCTGACTGATAATGGTTTACTGTTGCGACCAACAAACATGGATAGATAAATGTTTTTGCAGAATAACTGTCGGAGGTTGGATAGTCCCTCGTCACTAAGGTAAGATGATCGAATTAAGCATCAAAGAAAGTTCACATAAAGACATTATGCGGAAATATTGATGGGGAACAAAAGTGAAACGCTGTGAAAACAATAATACTTCAAACTAAAGTGTAAAAGTAACAACAACATATCTGTGAAAAGCAAAGGATGAGGGTAGAAAATGTCATTCCACATAGTAAGCACCTTATTTTGAACTTATTTCCTATTCGACTATACAGAGAACTTCCTCTGTAGCCCTTTTAGAGTTACTGAACGTCATATGGGTATGGGGTTCGCAACCTCATCCTGTAGAAAACAACCTAGATAAAATAAATGATAACCAGATAAAGCAAATTAAAACATGTAAACTCTGCCCTCCGAATTAAGAAAGAATTATGACACATGATTAAACCCGAGATTCTTCGGAAGTCACAACGCCGATGTCCCTTCTAATAATTAAAACAACAAATCACATAGGTACATGGAATGTCCACACAATGTGTGAGACCGGAAAGACCAACCAAACGGTTACCGAAAGGAGCAGATGCAACTTGACAGTACTCGAAATAAGTGAAAACCATTGGACTCAAGCTAGACAGCAAAGGTTAGATTCATGAGAGTTGCTGCTGTACTCCGATCACGAATGAGAAAGTGCTCCACACACTCAGGGAGTTGCGCTGATCTTGTCCAATGAAGCACGTATGTCACTCATTGGGTTGGGATCTCATGGACTCAGAATCATCAAAGCATCCTTCAAAACAAAGAAGGAAGGAATCACAATGGATGTTATCCAGTATTATGCACCCACTAATGACAGCAATGACGATCAAAAAAGCACTAAGTTCAACGTGTTATGAGGTTCTGGACTGCAACAAGCATCGTCATAAAGAATGGGTCTCTAACGAAACTCTGCACGATATTCAAGAAAGGACGAACAGGAAGACAGAAATCAACAACAGTCAAAGAAGGACAGAGAAAGTCGAGGCACAGAATGAATACAAAGAAGCAAACAGGCAAGTGAGGAAGTGCATTAGGGCCGACAAGCAGAAATACGTGGAAGACCTAGCAAGGACAGGGGATAAAGCTGTAAGAGAAGGAAATATGAAACAACTATATGATACAATGAAGAAACTAGTAGGAAAGTATTGTAAAACAGAAAGACCGGTCAAGGACAAAGAAGGCAAGATAATCATGGCGATTGAAGAACAGAGCAACAGATAGGTAGATCATTTTGAGGAACTCTTGAATAGACCAGTTCCATTAAATCCACCAGACAACGAAGCACCACACAGACCTCCCCATAGATGTCACTCCACCAACAATCGAAGAAATGAGGATGTCCATTAGACAAGTCAGGAGTAGGAAGGCGGTAGGACCAGACAACATACCAGTTGAAGCATTGAAGTCAGATAGAGAGGCTACTGCAAACATGCTTCGCGCTCTATTTAGAAAGACTTGGGGGAGAAATCAAGTGCCGATGGAATGTCAAGAAGGACACCTCATCACCAAAGAAACGAGATCTGAGCAAGTGTGCGAACTACAGAAGCATCGCACTACTGTCAGTACCGCGAAACGTTTCCAACAGAGTAGCTGGACCGGACATGGCTCAAAATCGTTTGCAATGGAGCAGCAAGTGCATCCACTCTTTGTGTTCTCTCAAATTCTAATCTTCTGAATTCTTCATGTCCCTTTATTTTTCTCTTTCCAAATTTATTTCACTGGATTATACTCATTGAATAACATCTTCAAACCCTAATTTTTCTGATTACA